ATGATTGTGTAACATTTAAAATACTTTTTTAAAAATAACCTTTAGATGTTTCTCTCACTTGAAAACGTATTTAAAAGGGTTTATTAAAGGGTTTATGGCAATTTCACATACGGAAAAAAGGGTTTATGGCAATTTCATATACGGAAAAAAGGGTTTATGAAAGGGTTTAGGATAGTTTTAAATACGGTAAAAAGGGTTTATTATACGTTGCACTTTCATCAACCCTTTTTGGGTTTATTATTCTACGAATTTTTTTTACAGTGTAAACGGTATCGTAACGGACGCCGTAAACGGTACGTATTTTTGTCGTATCTGTAGAATGCTGTCAGCAGACGCAAAAAACACAATTCAACGGCAACAATGTTGTTCCTTAATTTCTGCATGAAAACTACCAAAACAATTCTACATTTCCTAAGAAACCGACTTCAATAAACAATATAACATAAATCCTCGATTGTGGCGCCCCTATTGAAAATTGTTTCAATATGAAAATCTGCTTCGAATAAAATTTTGGTACAGTTTGAAACACAGTTTAGAGGGTTTTACGGAGTTCTAATCGATTTCTTATTTTCCTTTTTTCTATTGATCCGTTTGAAACAATGATATGTAGAAAATTCAAAAACATTTATAAGTTTGAAGAAGATATTCATCTGAATATTTCCAACTTCTCGGATCTTCACTTTTCGTGAGTACGCAAGAGACTTTAGCAGCATGATGGCATTATCGACCTCTTTTTTCATTTAGAAAAACATAATGCCAAGTTTTTTTAATACTTTTTCGACAGGGAATTGTTTGTTCTTTCTATTTTTAGATTTATTATGCTTTCAAAAATTTATGAATTTTTTTTGTATATTTGCGCCTCTCGTTGCTTACTATTTCGACTTACCATGTAGCCTGTCCGATCATGGAAAATAGGTGAAAGTTTAAATTAAATAAATGTTTCTTCTTTTTTGTTTTAGTTTTTCTAATAAAAAATGCCTTTTTAAAACGAAGAAAAAAGGAATTCGAATATTGTAGTAGTTTATAGGCTTTGCCAGCATACAACAGCAAGTTAATATGACGATTAAGCCGAAAATAAACTACCTATTTATGGCCGTAAATGAATCAAAAATCGGTCCGTAAGCGGCTACCATAACTTTCGTAAACGGCCGTATAACTCTCACCATATACGGTAGGGACAAATACGGCCGTATTACTGCCCCTGTTAAAACGGGGAAATACGGTGCCGTAACGGGCCGCACTTTCATCGTATTCGGCTGAAAATATCCCGTATTCTTGTCGTTTACGACCGTAGACGACGCCGTAACGATATCCGTTTTGACCGATCTGGGTATGAAATACATCAAAATTAGTGTCCACCTCATCATTTTTATGCAATTGTTTTGCTGATTGAAGTCACTATGTCGTAAAGTTTGGAGTACTATTTTCAAAGTAATGAACTTCAGTAGGATCTAATTATATTTTGATTTAAATCACAGAATAATCACTACTTTGATATGATCGCTCTGGCTCTGCCATAGAGAGAAAAGAACTGGATTGCATAGAGCGCTAAATTAGCCCATTCTTTACCTACATTATATTATTATTGCATGAAGAATTTTACAAGGATTTGCTGGGTAATGGTTTTCAGGAATTCAATGATCCGTAAATCGTAAATGATCAGAAATTGGTTGCAATATGCGTCGTATATGATGGATCATTTATTTCTATATCGATCTACTTATGAGCGAGGGCATCAAAAACGTTTTTCGATGTATGATACTCGTCGGATGACTGACGTTGACTGGTATCTTTGCTCACAACTCGACTCTTGATATTATCCAACATATGGGCAGAGGCCCACAGATTTCTGTGACTTTAAAGGTGCGGATGTGGGGTGTGTATTGTTAATTTTCACGTTCAACCAACCCAACTCCGAAACTAACCCCTCTTCCATCTATATTATTACCAACATTCACGAAACACACCCATAAAGTCACACCTGATCTAACAAAAGTAAGAAATATCGCAAATCTGGAAGGTTTCAATCAACTTGAAACTTTGGATTAATGAATATCTGCCCCTTATTTCGTGTTACACATAAATTAAATGGAACATGCTCACAGGTTTGGTGTGACTGATATCCAGAGTATGAACAACCATTAATGTATTTAGTTTGATAAATAGCAGTGCCACCGAATGCTGAGTCAACTGGAATGAGTGGATGATCGGGAGGAATTGACTTTTGATGTACACTGATGTATGCCTCTACGCCTCGATTGAGTGTGATGAGCCTAATAATAATGTTTGCTGCTCTATACCAACAGTCATAGTTAACCACTTTATCACGAAGAGCCCATATATCATAATATCCGCCAAACTGCGAAGCTGTTTTAGCACCCCACTCATCAATACTATAGTCAAAGTTTGTCAAGAATTGAGCTTCATCCAGTCGTGTGTTAATATCAAGATCAATAGCCATGTAAAATGTTCGACCAGGTGATATGAAAAGCTCACTGTTCCGAGCGTTATCTAGTACATTGTTTCTGCAATATGCAATACGTTCCGTTCGGCCTGCTATATAACGTTACACGTTACCAAACGTCTGTACTACCACGTGAGGATTCTCTCGACTCCACTGATAAAGAAATGACAGAGTTTTGTCAGTAGAGTCCGATTCTCCAATGTAAATATAGTATTGCATAAATAATGACGTTATACGTTCAATTTTGTTCTAAATACAGGAAGTCGGTGTTCAAGGTTGCAAGCGCAATCAGCAACAACGAGCGAACAGTTCCTTAAAAATGCACGTTTTGCTTCTGCGCTCAATTTCAGGTCTGCAGGCGTTAGCTTCGTGGAATTCACCAACCAAAACGTAATTGGTGGCTGGAAAAGTTGCTTGAGAATAAGCCATATGAACACTATAAAAATAATTGTAAGTAGAACTCCGACAACATGGCGGTGAGAGGCATTTATAAAGTTATTGAAGCGCATTTAGGTGTCTTTATACACCACATAAAAGCTCCAACAACTATTGCTCTACAATTGATTCTGTAGAATCATCGTCTGATCATTGGCTCTGTGTATTTAGTAGATCCCTGTACCATAAATACGCAACGTTCAGTAAAGTTTTTGCATTCTATCTGTTGTAAAGGGAGACGGTATTATTTTACAACATTTACAATATAATCCGATTTTTCATTTCTCTGAGAAACATTGATTGAAAAAGAGAGGAATGATTGTGAAGAAAATTTAAAGTACATCAAGATCTTGAGGTTATGCAGGATACTCCGTGAATGAACCATTAAGATGAAACCAAGGCGATGGGGAGGCAAGCTAAGGGTAAAGGGATCATTGAATGGCCATGAAATTCAGCCTGCACTGATTTAGAGGCGCTCATTTAGATGTAAAATGTGGGTGTGGCTCTTCATTGGACCAAACCTCATCTACACCCACACACCCACACCCACCACACCCTCAGGTCAGAATTTCATATGATCGGTCCATTATGAACCAATCATATCTTTTGTATATGAATGTAGCTCAAACATTTCTTTGTCCAATGGTGAAAACCGTAGCTATCTATCTACGTTCTGTGAAGAGTTATTTTTAAAAAAGTGGAGAATCTTATACTTTGAAACGGATAATAGTGCTTCTGCAGTATATTAAGTTACATAGCTATGTCACAATTGTATACAACCATAGTAGTGGAGTTGTATTTGCTGAAAAATACAGATCCTTTGAGTCTCTGCTTTTTATTGTGAATGGTTGTTGGCAAGTCGAGTTGGTTTTCTCGTGTAACTTTCTTTTCTTCCTATTTCCATGTGTACCAATATTTTAGATAGAATATTAGTTTTTTCATAATTAAATCTAGATGGACGATACAATTACGGTCGGTATTCCTTCTTCTCTGTCTCGAAGCTCCGATTCAGTTTGTGTTGGCCTTGAACGACATTTTTTCCATCATAATAGTTCTCCATCTTGGCGTGCCAGTATTTCTGCAGAATGGAATGCTCGGCGAGCAGTCGAAAAAGAAAAGCAAACCGCTTTGTTTCCGCTTGCAATGAATCCGTTCGGAGACGATGAAATTATTGCAATGGTAGAAGTATTATTGACGGGTCGTTTAACGTTAGGCGCAGAAGTAGAAAAGGCTGAAAGAAAGTTTGCTGAAATTGTTGGGGTACCATATGCCATTATGGTTAATTCAGGTAGTTCTGCAAATTTACTAGCCGTCTCGGCTATAACAAATAAGTTGCGTCGAGTGCACTGCGATCCTGGCGATCATGTACTGGTTCCTGCAGTATGTTGGTCAACGAGCGTTTTCCCACTAATTCAAAATGGCCTGTGCCCTGTTTTTGTCGATGTAGATCCGCGCACATTCAATGTATCTCTTTATGAACTTGAGCGTAAACTGACAAGTCGTGTTAAAGCAGTGATGGCCGTACATGTATTAGGTAATTCCATAAATATGCAAGAACTAATAGAATTTGTTAATCGTCACCAGCTTATATTGATTGAGGATACTTGTGAGTCCTTAGGAAGTTTCTGTGTTACTGGTGTAGCGGATAAACGTAAGATGTTGGGTACATTTGGTGATTTTGGAACATTCTCGTTTTATTTTTCGCATCACATCACTAGTGGCGAAGGAGGAATGGTTACGTGTCATACTGAAGAAGATTATAACATTGTACGATGCTTACGTGCACATGGTTGGACAAGACATCTTACAAATCGTCAAAAAATTGAAGAGCAATATGAAGATATTGATTCTCGGTTTTTATTTGTAAATATGGGCTTTAATTTTCGACCGTTAGAAGTTCAAGGGGCTATGCTAAATGTTCAGTTAGATAAGCTCTATGAATTTAACACATGTCGTCGTGATAATTTAAAACGCATCAAAGAAACTCTATTATGTGACAACAGGTTTTCAAATTTAATGTCATTAATGGAAGCTTCAAAAGACGTTGACCCGGCCTGGTTTGGTCTTGGTGTTTTACTTCATCGGCCCTATGCTCATCAACGACTTGAATTCTTGAAATACCTTGAACGCAATGGAATAGAAAATCGCCCTATCATTAGCGGTAATTTTATTCGTCAGCCTTGCATCTCTGTTTTCTGTAATGAAGAACACCCAGAAAACTATCCTGGTGCAGAGGCGGTTCATACGCGTGGTTTCTTTATCGGTGTTCATCAAATACCGCTAGATCAAGTTGTGATCGACAAACTTGTTGATTTTATTTTAGCATTTCCATTCTTTCCTTATCATGTAATAATAGTCACAGGAAGCAACGGAATGCTCGGTAGATACATTCGTGACACCGTTCTGGAAAGTTCTTCAAAGGATAGTCGAACAACAATAACAACAGTTGCCAATATAAACCCGCTGAAAAGAAAGACAAAAGAGGCAGAATGGATCTTTTTGACTCGTCACGATGGAGATCTCCGAAAAGTAGAAGATGTCAAAAATATATTTAAGCGATATCAACCTACACGCGTAATACATTGTGCAGCACATCTTGCATCTATGCAAGTAATGTCGTCTAAACCAGTAGACTTTTGGTTAAACAACGTTACCATGAATAATAATATACTAGAAGCCGCATTCGAATTTCAATCATGGACTGGGCCCATTAAAGTAGTTTCGATATTATCTACAGTTATGTTTCCAAAGAATGCACAATATCCAATCGATGCTTCAACTATTTACGAAGGATCGCCTCATTTCGCATCAGAATCATATGCATACGCTAAAAGATCGCTAGCTCAACTCATACAATGGTATCGTAAACAGCACGGCTGTGACTTTGTGTCGGTATTACCTGGTAATTTCTTCGGCGCTTACGGCGATTTCAACCCCAATACAGCTCCACTGGTAAATGCACTAATCGCAAAAATAGAAAATCAAAAGGAGTGTGATCCTACAGCTCCTCTTACCATGATAGGCACCGGTACACCGTTGCGTCAAGTTATGTACGCTCATGATCTCGCTAAAATAGTTATTTGGGTACTAGGAAATTATTCAGAAGGGGAACCCTTAATTGTTGCTGGAGAGGAAATTTCAATTTCTCAACTTGCTCATCTTGTTCGTGATCAAGTAGGTTTTACTGGATGCCTCCAGTTTGAGGGTGATGTTAAAAATGATGGACCAATGCGTCGTACAGCTGACACATCGCATTTCGAAAAACTTCATCCATCTTTTACAATGACTCTACTTCCGACAGCTATTAAAGAAACACTTGAGTGGTACAAAAAAAACAAATAATAGTAACAAAAAGATTGGACATGCCTTCCAATTCAAATATTGGGCACTAGTACATATCGTCGCATGATCACTTCGTCGCAGAAAATTCTTTTTCGTTCTGTTCATCTCCATATACTTGTCATCTCTCTCTCTTAATAAATTCTTTTTTTTATAACCAATGAAAATAAAATACAATAAATGAAAAATTACGGGAGATATATACAGTAGCGATAGATATTCAATTGGAAAAATGGATCAATAAAAAATATTGTTGTAATATAGTCATGATAGAGCTAAAGCAAACAAAAAAAATTAGATTAATAACTCGGTTAATGAATTTTAACATAATCTCAACTAAAGATAACACTAATCCAATGTCCTTAATTATGGAGCTAAGTAAAATAAAAATGAAAAACATTTCACTTTTCAATCTCAACGTTTACTGCACAGTGCTTTTCAAGAAAAATGTCTCAAATCGAACAACTCTCTTCTATAAACGGAAAACCAATGGTTCTTCATGAAGGTTATATCTATACTGTAGAACGTACAACAACCACGAAATTGATCTTTCGATGTAAGAATCGAGATTTTAAAGGTATGTACGCTTTGAACATCAACCAAATAATTCAAATGAAAATCATTTATCAATTAAGCTCGATGTCATACCAATTTATCCATGGATGCATTTCTCTCACTGCCAACATCACATTGTCATGCTCCACAACCTGATTGTGTCCCAGCTATCAAATTAAAAAATGAAATTAAAGCTCGTGCTGCAACAACAGATGAATCAACTAGTACAATTATTCATTCAGCCTTACGTACCTATCCACTGAGTGCTGCTGGTCAACTTCCAAAAAATGAATCCTTTATGCTAATGATTCGACGACAACGTACTACTGAAACAGTCGATGGCAATGGTCGTTTACCAGAGAAGTTGAGAAAAGCTTATCGTGACGAAGACTTCATCATGCACGAAGACAAAAAATTAATTATCTTTACAACGAAAACTAATTTATCTATTCTGAAGCAAAACAAACATTGGTTCACTGATGGAACGTTCAAAGTAAATTATCAATCAAATTTATCTTTTCTTTTCCAATTTTCTTTCATGTAGGTGTGTCCCGACGATTATTATCAACTCTTCACATTGCATGCGATGATGACGAATGCAATCATTCCTCTCGTCTATGGGTTATTAATTGGTAAAAGCGCTGATGATTATAATTTATTCTTTGAAAAAGTATTAGAACAAGACAATTTTCAACCTGAATCAATCATGACTGATTTCGAAACTGGCACAATCAAATCAGTCAAAGATATGTTACCAAATATTTTACACAAAGGTACGTTCTAGTTTATATAAAAAGTATAATTGAAACTATTTTATAGGATGTCTCTTTCATTTTTCACAAGCGGTATGGCGACAAGTTCAAAGCAAAGGATTAACAACCAAATATAAAGAGGATGAGGTTTTTCGTTTAAATGTAAAACAATTAATTGCTCTTGCTTTTGTTTTTCACTAGATCAAATTATAATTGGCTTCGACTTGATTTGTGATCTATTCGACGATGACACCGACGATTTACTCGAGTATTTTGAAAAAACATGGATTGGTGAACCGAAAAGAAGAGGTAATTTTTTTTCTCTATTTTTAATAAATTTCAAATATACTTGTTTTTCTTAGGAACTGGTCGAAAGAAGCCTCAATTCGATCATAAATTATGGAATATTCATGATCGTGTCGTCGCTACTGTACCTCGATCCAACAATTCGGTTGAAGGTTGGCACAATGCTTTGGCTAGTCGCGTCGCAATAAGTTATCCAACTATCGTGAAACTGGGAGTGAAAATTCGTCGTGAACAATCAAAATTTGAAGTGGACATGGCGAAGATTCTTCAAGGCCACAATATTAAGACGAAGAAAGCCTGCTATCGAAAATTGGACGAGTGTATTACTCGACTGGTCAACTCATTCGACCCAACTCAACTGGATCAATTATTAAAAAATATGGCAGCTAACATTACTCTTTAGATATTTGTTTTTCTTTATATTACTTTCTTTCTTTAAATTATTGTTTTTTCTTTAGGTTATTTTGTTTTCTTCTTTTTTTTCTCAATTTGTTCATTATTATATTATGCATCATTCACAAAATAAATAAATATTAACTCATCAAGTTTTTATCTTTCAATAAAAAAAATTAATTAAGAGAGAAGATGCCATGAATGGATAGAGTTGAGAATAGCGAAAGAAATTAATTTATCTGCGACGGACAGAACGAAAGAAATATATATGCGACGAGCAGAATGGAAAAAAAAATTCTGCGACGAAATGAACGCGACGAAATGAACGCGACGAAATGTCATGCGACGAAGTGATCATACGACGAAATGATTGCAACGAAGTGAACGCGACGATGTGTGCGGTCACCAAATATTGTAACTGTTCTCTGACAAGCCGTAGTGTCTACATCAAAATAGAAAATAGAGAGAATCTCTACAATAAAAGGACGTTTGTGTCATGGTAGTTAAGAAAGAGTCCATGAAATCACCACGCAAAACCGTGGCTATCGGTTGCCGAAAGCTTTCAGATTTTGAAATTAGCTAACAGTTTCGATAGAGCATAAAATATTAGGCGTAAATCCAAGTTTGTAGTATATTTGAACGAAGCCGTCTTTCGATTTTGGTACTCTACTTTTTTGACGTTTCAAAAATCCGAGTGTCTTTTTTTAAAGTTTTTTGATCAAGTGTTTTTACACAAAAAATTAATCAATACAACAGCTATCTTGTACTAATCGATATCGTGAAAACCACTCGACAAAATGATAGATTTTGCTTATCTCCTTTTGCCATCTATGAGTCCTGAAAACTCGTACATCATTGTAGATTACCCATTTTTTGTCCGATTTTAACTTGATTTTGTGAAACAAGATCTGAAAGGAGTGTCGAAGTATATAGGAGAGAAAGTTGGACCAATCATGCCACCCCCCGGACAGATCGTTACAGAGAAATTAATTAATTAGATACTTGCTTGATTAATTAATTATTTGTTTTCTCGGTAATGGTCTGTGGTGGTTTTTCAGTTCTCTGCAACAGTCTTTGGTGGTTTCTTAGGTCTCTGTAACGGTTTGTAATGGTTTCTAGAGACTCCATACATCATCATACAGGCCGTAACAGAGAAGCTCCACAAACCATCACTGACCGTGATTGGCGGATTCCAGAAAAGGGGTTTCATCGTGTTTCACATTTTAATCCCACAGGGATTGTGCTAGCAGCGTTTTTAGCAATTTTTACCCTACATCGACTCTTTTTTAGAAATGCCCAAGACACATGCTAGCGTAGGCTCTAGAGCTTGAAAAGCCACATATTTTCATAAAAAAGTGTCTGCGTAAAACTATTAGCAAATTTCCGAAAGATACATAGAAAGATAGCTCAGTATGAGCTATTTTCTGATAGTTTCATACTCCATGTTGTCTTAGTAAATCAATCATATCTCAGTATTCCGTATAGCATTTTGGTCAAGGTTAGTGTCATTCGATAGAGCATTTAAACTGCAACAGATACAGACATTCAGTACGGGATTGTATTTCTCTATCTGGGAACAGGGGGAAAATATAAAATGAGCAACCCTGTAAAATTTGACCGATTCAATTAATTTTTTATTTCTAGTTTTGCTAGTTTTATTGATCAAACAGCGGAGGTGCTTGTACTGTCCGTGAGAAAAACGGGATATTTTCGGATCAAATGAAAGCTCTCATAGCCAAACTAACAAGGTTAAAATATTAGCTGCTATTGGCTTATCTAGAGGGAGATATTCAATTTTTCAGTGAATTTTCTTTACAGGACCGGCTTTCTCAGCAATATCGTATTCTCGNAAGCTGTTAGCGCAATCCCTGTGGGATTAAAAATGTGAAACATGATGAAATTTCTTTTCTGGAATTCGTCTATTACTGTCACTGGTGGTCGGTGAAGCTTCTCTATTACGGTCTGTATTGTGACGTATGGAGTCTCTAGAAACCATCACAGACTGTTACCGAGAATTCAGAAACCACCACAGACCGTTACAGAGAATTGAGAAACGGTGTGCCGTAGAAAGGTCGAAAGCAAAAATTTAAGGGGAAAAATGTCGAAAGGAAAAATGTCGAAAGGGGAAAATGTCGAAAAAAATTTAAAAACGGGGAAAAATGTCGAAAAAAATATAAAAAGAAAAAACCGTCGAACAATGCATTTTACCACAAAAAAAATCAAAATTCGAAATAAACGAAATAG